GGAGGACGGTGAAGGGTGCCTCTTGACCCGGGGCGAGGCTCTCATAGCAAATGGTGGACTCGGAGGCGGAGACGAGCTCCGAGATGCCAGCCGGCTGGTTCGAGTCAACGTGGCCCATGTAGTCGCCGCCGACAAACTTGACAGAGCACCCGGCCGGCCAAGCAACATCTCCCTCGTTCCTCAGATTCCAGGTCTGCTGGAAGACGCTGTTGGGGGCCATGGTGGTGCCGTCAGCGATGGTGTCACTAACAAAGACAGCGACAAGGTCCTTTTCCAAGAGGGGCTTCTCCTCTGCCTTGGGCTGCGGTTTCTTTTCGACAACCTTCTCCCTTATAGGCATCGACTCGATTGGCTTCACGTCAACAACAGTCTGTACCGACGCCATGGACTTTGTGTCGCTTGAGCGCGATGCAGCGCGGTGAAACGATCTGTCGCCAAGCTGCAGCATGGTGTTGCCATTTCCGTGTTCGCCTGTCGTCGTGACTGTGACATGACGGACGGGAGTCTTGAACTGCACCAGAGGGTGTGTCTTGTTGTGCTCCAGGGCCGGACTAGCCTCGCAATTGGCACAGAAGTCGGTGTCGTGGCAGACAGTGCACTTGTACCGAGTACCGGTAATGTATGTCGGCGCGTTGCCACTGCTGCAAAGGGGGCCATCGCAACAGATGCCATAGTGGACCTGTCGGGCGCTGGTGCAGCGAGCTCGAGCCTCTTCCAAGGGCTCGTAGACGGGCACGAAGCGATGGTTGGCATGGACGAATTTGGCATTGACAATGCACTCGCTGCAGTAGTCCCAATCGGGACAGTCCAGGCACTTGTGTCGGACGCCGCAGATGTACTTGTCACATCCATCGCAGATGGCGTTGTGAACCTGGTTACGGCCAGCGGAAAGTCTCACCTGGAGGTGGTTGGGTACGTAAGCACCCTCGACGGCAGGGGTGAAGGCGTGCTTCGGGTGGTGGCCATGAGCATCCTTGGAGAAGCATGCATGGCAAAGATCAAAGTCTTCGCATGTAGTGCAGTGCAAAAAGCGTGTCTCGGGAAGCTCATTTACGCAGCAGTTGCAAGTCCTGACGGCCCACGACGTAGTGTTGAGAGTGGGAAGAGGCGCCAAGAACGGCTCAAGGATGGGGACGCGGGCCTTGTCCGCGGGCGCAGGCTCCGCGGGCGCAGGCTCCTCCTTCTTAGGCTTAGGGGCGATGGTCTCTGTGGTGCTCGTGATTATCTGACCGTCTTGCAGAGCCCTCTTGATGAGCCAATGGCTGTCGCTGTAGCAAGTGATGCCTTGTTCGACACAACTCTGGCAAAGATCGAAATCGCCATCATCGCACGTGGAACAGTGATAGTGAGAGTCAGGGATGGTCTTGTCGCAGCTGTTGCAGCACACAGCAAAGTTGAGGGTGGGGAGAGTTGTGGTTTGGGTGTAGAAAGTTGGGGTTCGCACCTGACCAGAGGCAGTCCTGTAATAGAAGCCCGACGAAGGGTCGTCGTGCTCTGGGGCCGCCGGAGCTTCCGGGTTGGAAACAGGCTCCTTGTGGTCGATGTCACTCAAATTGGCGTGTCTTTGCATCAGGGACGCAAGGAGCGAAGTTTCGAAATCATCGACAAGATCCGTCATGGGCAGCTGGTGTTTGGGTGCCTCGTTCTTCGTCTCCGTCTTGGGCTCTGTGGCTCGGAGGACGTCAAAGACGGTGGGGAGTTTGGGAGGGACCGGTGGCTTGTATGCCTCGGGCTGCGGAGTTGGGCTGGGAACAGCGGCGAGAGTAGTGCTGACCTCGGGGCAGTCTTCCACAGTCACAGACCTGGGAGGGGTCCTCTCTGGCAGCCGCTGAACGGTGACGCGGAGCTTGAGCTTCTGTTTGGCCTTGGCTGCCCTGTAGAGCTGCTTGTAAACCGAGGTGTTACTCGGGTCCAGGACGACGTAAGCGGCAGCCGAATCGGAGTAGCGTTCGAGAAGGACGGGAACGTTGACGGGGATTTTGAGAAACTCTCGGATCTATGGGCAAACATGTCAGTTCGGTGATCCTTCCCTTCTGCCTCTTGGTGGTCAAGCAGGAGATGTCAAGAGCACGAGACGAGGTCGCTTACCTTGGTCTCCAGCGTGCTCGCGCCAACATCTCGGAGGACGAAACCGAAACGCTGGTTTACGCCTTCATACAAGACCTTCACAGTGACGGGCAGGTCCTCGGTGGCGGTCCTGGGAGCAGAGGGTGCCTTTTTGGCCGAGGGAATAGAGGCGCTTTCGGAAGCCATGATACGTGGCTCGAGCTCACCGAGTGTGGTGAGGGTTGGGCGGATATGGTCTGACGCCGATAATGCTGGTATAGTGATATACCTAAATGTTTCCGATCGAGAGGTGTTGGCAATCACGACACCTCGGATGGGAGACCGGAGTGTCGGTATGAGGAACTGTTGGAAACTAGATGATGGCCTTGTGATGAGGAGGAGGAGGAGGAGGAAGAGGAGGGGGGGGGGGGGGGGATGATGGGAGAAGGTGGAGGGTGGTAGGTGAAGTAGAGCGGCAGAGAGGAAGTGGAGGTAAGTAAGGTAAGGTAGTCGAGGTAGGTAGGTAGGTCAAGGTCAGGGTAGGTACAGTACAAGAGGTGCAAGTGGGTGCGGGTGGAGAGGGGAAGCAAGCAGATGATGCGTTCGCTCTGGCAGT